AGTGCAAAGAACAACCAGCGACCCCCCCAGAGTGTTAGAAAATCTCAGAAGAGAATTTAAATATGGGTCTGAAAGTGAGAGCCCAATAGGTTGGCACTATCCAACATGTTTTTGATATCTGTTCCTGATGAATCGAACTTATTTTGTACACGATTCCATTTCCCACCAATTCCTCCAGAGGCCCTCAAAAAACTCAGAAACAGTTCTAGGGGAGCTGAGCAGACTGCCTTCTTACCCTCATTAGACTAGGAAAGTTTAACCAACAAGATGTGAGTTTTTATTTGTTGGGGGAACTGCTCTTTCTTAGAGCTGCCTCTTCTTTCCTAGGGCTTTTTTGAGCTCTACTCAAAGGATAAAGAACAATGTTTTCTTGTCAGGGTACTAGCTAAGTGATGCTGGAAAATGAGGCCCCAGGGACTGTGACTGAGAATTCAGGTCTTTAAGTGATCTTTAAAATTCTGTACATACTCCATACTCATCAATTAAAATGTTGCTTACATCTTCAGTATGTGGGGGTGTGTGTGTGTGCTCAGATGTGTCTGACTCTTTGCAACCCCATGGACAAGTAGCCAGCCCAGGCTCCTCTGTCCATGGGATTTTCCAAGCAAGAATACTGGAGTGGGTTGCCATTCCTACTCCAGGGGATCAACCCAGGGACTGAACATGTGTCTCTTGTGTCTCCTGAATTGGCAGACAAATTCTTTACTGTCTGAGCCACCAGCAAAGTCCACACTCACATGCTATGAAACGCCAATTCAGAAAGTAGGTTTGTTTTTGAACTTAATCAAAAGAGAAGTTGCCTAATGAATTGATTTTAAAGTAATCAAACCATTCCATAATAGAAAGAGGGCTACATATTTAGTTTACAGAGCTCAAGAGAGTCATATAATTTCATGGAATTATTTACAAATAAGGAAGACTAATCAAAGAAGTATGTTCACTGAATAGAAAACTAGAAGACAACTACCCAAGTGTTTGCCCACTATGCGCCAGGCAATGCTACCTTCCAGGGCTAAGGCCAAGGTGTCCACATTGTACTTGGTCTTAGGCAGATATGATTTGGTCTTTTACTTCCTCAAATACCAGGTAGTCATAATCTGATCTAACAGAAATTATGAGAGTCGAAAATCTAGTTATCAGTTTATTTAAAGGCAATACATATTTTTTCTATTTTGAAAACACTTTATCTCAGTTCCCATTACAGAAGCACCATGAACATACTTCCAGTCATAATTTCCCAACAGGTGGGTGCCTTTATGTGAACGGGATGCTTAGTCAGAGAGTTCGTGTGGGAGGATGGAGAGGATATAGCTGGGTGGCTGTTGGCACAGGAGCCTAGACTGCAAGATTAGAAGTACCTATTTCTCTGCTGAAGCCAGCCTGAATACTAGATGACAAAAGGACAGCAAATGAGGATGGAAAGCAGTCTCTGTTGATGCTACGTCTAGTGTTAAGGCTCTTGTGCCTGGTGGGAGCATGTGTTTACACTGGGTTAGGTTCATGGTAGCCGATGAGCTAACTGAGATGTGCTCTGCAAGGTAAGTCTGTCCTCGCCTCTGCTTGCGCTTTCCTTGTCATAAGAATAGAGTTGAAATGTGCCCTGGGTTTGGGGCTCTCTGTCCCTGTGTCCCTTGCAAAGAGATACCACTTAATCTCTTAAGAGATTCTGTAATGAACAACATCAAATTTAACAAAAGAAAGTTGGGCCATTGGATAATTTCCTTTACTGGAGAAATTAGAAAAGAAGCCCCAGGGAAAGCCTAGAATAAACTATCTGTAGCGAAACTCCAGTTTTGTTTTTCCAATCCACTGCAGGACAATTCTCTTGCCAAATACAATAGAAACAAATTACTAGAAAAATTGAAAAAGCCACCAAATTCAAGCCCAAATTTTAGATTCAACAGTCTTAAAATTACTCTGTGGAATTCCTATAAAATTGCTAAATGTTCTTTTCTCATTTCTGTACTCACTGTGACCAAGGCTTACACTGGACTTCAAACCAGATGTTCAGTTTAGTTAAGATGTAGGTAATGGATTATTTTTCATGGAATTGGCAAAATACTGTAAGCAAGTTCATCAGGGCATAAACTTTGGAAATAACTCAAGGCCCTGTACTAAGTTGTTCATCAGTGTTAATTTCTTAGGAGCAAAAGGGTACAGCAATGATAAAGACAAAATTCCCGTTTCTCAGACAGTGAGTGAGAAAGGGATAGAAAATAAACATAAATACTTGGAAATTATTCATAGTACTAAGTAAGAGAAAAATTGAAGAGAATAGATAGATAATGAGAGGGAAGTGGGACTATTTTAAATATACTAGTGTAAGAAGTCTCCCTGAGGAAGTTTTATTTGCGCAAATATCTCAAATGATAAACAGTCATGTTCAGAGATCTATAGGACATTCTAGGCAGAGGACAGCCAGTGCAAAGGCCCTGAGGCAGAGGTATCTTTGACACAAAGGTAGTGAGGCCTGAGGTGAGGAATACTGAATGCAACTTGATGTGGCCAAAGTCAACTGTAGGGAAGTGTAGATAAGGAAAATGGTGTCATGGGCAGCCCAGAGGTGAAGCTGTGCGAACAGGTGAGTTGGATTGCAGCTGGGGAACATGCAAGGACAAGGAATCAGGAATCTCATCCATGACTTAGCTCAGACTCCTGGTAATGGGATATGCAAAAGATGATGGGTGAGGAGCCTGGGAGGAATGGGCTTTGGAGAAAAGGGCCTGGCCTTATAGATGGGCAATAAGGAAGGCTTTGAAGGGAGCACTGGAGAGAGAGTTCTGCAGAGGTTGTTACCTGGAGCGATGGCATAGAGACAACTTTGGGTGGGTTTTGTCATATTCAGCTGAACAAACACTCTGGTATCACCTTGGCATTCATACACCTTGGGGATTGTAACACAGGATGTGGCACGCTCATGTTTGAGTAACTGACTTCCTATAATAGGAAAAGGAGTTCTTTCATTTGTTAAGTGTTTTTAGGGCCATGAAGACCCATCTTTACAAAGTTCTCTTGTTACTTCTAATGATGAAAGGGTGGAGATGAGCTGGTGTCCTTTTTGATGGGATTTAAAAGTTTCTCTTCTGAATGTTGCATCTTCTATTATACTTTCTTTCCTGTTCTTCATCCATCTGGCTCTTTTACCTAACTAAGACTTAAAGGACATTTTTTAAAAAGTGATATTGGATACAGTCAGGTTTTTAACAACGGATCAACCTGACAAACTGTTTAGAAACAAGATACTACTGTGTAGTTCTATCCCAGCCAAACCTGGAGTGAAATTTAAAGCAGGTCAATCCCTGGAGGGGGGATTGTTTAGTGGCTAAGTCATGTCCAACCCTTTGCAACCCCATGGTCAGCAGCACACCAGGCTTCTCTATCCTTCACTATCTCCTAGAGTTTGCTCAAATTCATGTCCATTAAATCAATGATGTTATCTAACCATCTCATCCTCTGCCACCCCCTTCTCCTTTTGCCTTCCGTCTGAACCAGCATCAGGATCTTTTCCAATAAGTCAGCTCTTCATTTCAGGTGGCCAAAGTGTTGGAGCTTCAGCATCAGTCCTTCCAGTGAATATTCAGGGTTGATTTCCTTTAGGATTGATTGGTTTATTCTCCTTGCAGTCCAAGGGACTCTCAAGAGTCTTCTCTAGTATCACAATTCAAGAGCATCTATTCTTTGGCACTCAGCCTTCCTTGAGAGTAATCCAACTCTCATATATGTACATTACTGCTGGAAAAACCATAGCTTTGACTAGATGGACTTTTGTTGGCAAAGTGATGTCTGTGCTTTTTAATACACTGTCTAGGTTTGTCATAGCTTTTATTCCAAGGAAAAAGTATCTTTTAATTTCATTACTGCACTCACCATTTGCAGTGATTTTGGAGCCCAAGAAAATAAAATCTGTCATTGAGGGTAAAGGAGGAGAGTAAAAAAGCTGACTTAAAACTCAACATTAAAAACACTAAGATCATGGCATCTGGTCCCATCACTTCATGACAAATAGGAGGGGAAAATGGATGGGGAAAAAATATATATATATATAATTTGGGATCAGCTAACTGCAAAAAAGAAAGTAATACTTGTGAGTCCAAATTTCAATTGCAGTTTATTTCCCCACATTTAGCAAAGTAGGGTGAATTTATAAGTTTTTCAGTATCCATATGGTTTCAAAAGCATCAGTTCTTTTTGAGACTGGAATTTTGCCCATCTTACTGTTAAGGTGCAGGCTCAAATGAAGGTCTGAGTGAAGGGTTGTACTTTATTTGATTGGGATTTTAAAAGTGTGTGTGTGTGTGTGTGTGTGCATTTAGTGGTAACATAAGAATAATATACTCACAAGCTCTTACAAGGGCTTCCCAGGTGGCGCTAGTGGTAAAGGGCCTGTCAGCCAATGCAGAGGATGTAAGGGATGTGGGTTCAATCCCTGGGTCAGGATGATCCCCTGGAGGAGGGCATGGCAACTCACTCCAGTGTTCTTGCCTGGAGAATCCCCTGGACAGAGGAGTCTGGTGGACTATGGTCCATAGGGTTGCAAAAAGTTGGACACAATTGAAGCTACTTGGTACATACACACACACACACAAGCTATTACAACTATAAAAGGACACAAGTATAAATTTGTCCCTTCGGTTCTTTAACAGAATAGGAAATGGAGGTGTTACAACTTGCCCAAGGTCACACAGGTAGTTAAGAGCAGAGCTTACACCAGAGCTGGGACTAGTCTAATTTTTAGTACTTATTGCTTTTATCATGTGACTCCTTAACCTTTTATATTCCAAATGCTGAAGCTAGGTTATAAAGTAGCATATTTTCTTCTAGTATTCAATTCATGGAAGTCAATATAAATTCCTGATTTTTTTTTTAATTCCTGATTTTTAAAGTTCCTTTTTGGGTAGTATTTGTGCAGATTTGATTATTTTGTCTCTGAAAATAATTCAACAGCTAATTAGAATTGGGAAGTGTCTTGCATTTGATATATTTTGTTTTGGCATTTTTAGGTTTTCCTCGAACATTAGTTCAGGCTGAAGCCTTGGACAGAATATGTGACCTGGATCTAGTGATCACTTTGAATATTCCATTTGAAACGCTCAAAGATCGTCTCAGCCGACGTTGGATTCACCCTCCCAGTGGGAGGGTATATAACCTGGACTTCAACCCACCTCATGTACATGTAAGAATATACAATGTACTTTCACACATTGACAAGGAGGTAAAACATTTCAGTTGAAAAGTGGGGGAACAATATGAATAGGCTATTCCATTAAGAGCAAATATACATAGCCAACAAATATTTTAAAATTAATCATTCACTTGTAATGAAGGAATGTAAATTACTTTTATTTCTGTAGTTAGGATCTGGGAACACGTTACTGTTATCTGTATTAGGTATATGAAATGTTAATCATCTTTTAGAGAAGCAACCTAGCAATGTACATTAAAAATTTTAAATACATATTTCATTCAACCCATTTCTGGGAGTACAGTCTATGAAAACGTAAGCACTAGCATGTAAGGTCATATACACAGTGAGGCTTATTTCGGTGCTGTTTGTAGTGGGAAAAATAAAACTTGAAAACAACACAAATGTTAATTTCTAGGGATGGCTAAATAAATTTGGCAGTAATCACATTTTGGAATATTATGTAGTCAGTAAAAAGAAGATTTAGTTAGTACTATATTCATTGGTAAGATTTCCCAGAGAAGGAAATGGCAACCCACTCTAGTATTCTCGCCTGGAGAATTCCATGGACAGAGGAGCCTGGTGGGCTATAGTCCATACTGTTGGACGCAACTGAGTGACTAGTGCTTTACTTATTATATTCTTTGGCCTAGAGTAATATTTTTCCCTGAGTGTTGTTAAATGACAAATGCAAACAGCAGAGTGATTCAATTTTTGTAAAACCATGACCACCCTTATTTATACATATCTGTTTACATGATTATAAGTGCTCTCTAGCTTCATAAAAGTAGGGATAAAGATATAAAGGCAGCCTGGGCTGCCAGTGTTTGGGGTTGGGACAGAGTAAGGCATAGGGTTAGAGTGAGTGGGGTCATCTGAGTAGTGAGCATGAGGATGTAGAGATGAGAGAGAGCCAAAGGCATAGAAGATTGCCCTTTAAAAGACGCTCACAATATAATAACTATGTGTCTGCATAAAATTAAGTACATGTAAAGGTATATGGTTAAAGAAACTTTGGGTAAACTCATTTAAAGAGTTACTGTTCCTGGTAAAGGCATGAATTAGTTCAATCTGATCATTCTTATTTGCCAATAGATAGTATTACTTGTTCCTATCTAAGTGTGAAAGGTGTGGCTATTGTGTCTTACTGGTTTAATGTTTATGGACTAGGATAGACTTGAATATAGTCAATAACAACTACAGAAAACTACTTCAAGGGGTTATGTATGGATACCTTCTAGTTCTTTAAGTCATCATTAGGTTCTTATAAGTCCTTTTCATTTAAGTTAAGCGGAAGTCTCCTTTTGAAGTCTTCTTTTAAAAATGTACGTTATCTGGAATTCCTTTGTAGAGCTCTTCCATCATTCCATCCCCAAAAACAAGTATGGGGAAAAATGGAAAAGGAGGAAAAGAGGCTTCTGAGTTGGCATTGGAATCTAACACAAATGCATCATATTTTGGCCCTCCGTAGACTTGCTGATGTGGAGATTCTTGTAGAATTTGAGTTGCTTTCCAAAGCCTGGGTACCCCTAAAAGAGCGCCTGCAGTTCAATGCTGTTTCCTAAGACAGCAGTGGAAGTGCCAGTTTGGGCCAAGTCAACCAGCTGTGACCAAGCTCCCCTGGGAGAGATGCTGTTGTCTTTGCATCCTCCTGCTCTTTCTGGAAGCAGTGTTGTATTTCTTGGTGCTATAAAGTCCTGGAAATGATTCCTGAGCTTTGCAGCAATAAGTAAAATAAAGGAGAGGAATGAGTGATGGATCTCCTTCTCCCACCCCTCATGTCTCCCGTTCCATCCGGGTAACAGCCCTGTAGTACACACATGATAATTATGTGGCTCACCAGTAAGTTCTAAGTGTAAGTTATATACTTAAGGCTTTGTGCTGTATTGGAATTTCAGTGCATTTCGAACTTAGAGCCAGTTTTGTATTATCCAGCTGAATGACTGAGCCTTCTGCTCTATGCCTGAGTTCTGCTCTATTCTGCCTTTTGACAGATTGATTTCCTGTGACTATCTGTCTTGGTAGTCCAATAGCCATGGACTTGGCAGGTGAAATTCTGAGGTGTCCATTTTGCTTTTTGTATGCAGATATAGCTCCTGGGGAAGTTAAAGTACACAAAAAAATCAGATTTTCTTTCTCAGTTGCCAGAATGTTTGTTCGTGGTTATCCTGGGTATATGATTCATGCCTATTTTGTTCTAACTTTAGATGTCACTATTTGATTTGCTAAAATAGCCTGAGTAAGTTTAATCTTAGAAGAACTACGTGATAGAATTTGAAAGTAGCAAAAACAGGACTGACCTACCTTCTCTTTGATTAGTGTTTTTCCTAAGGAAGCCATTTGGTTCTTTGAGACATTTGTTCTCCATTTTAAGAACTCAAGCTTTAGAAAGAAGCTAGTTTTAGGAACATTTAGAGGACCAGAGTGGCACTGTTGAGGATTCTCTGGTATTTGCAGGGGACTGATGATGTCACTGGTGAACCACTGGTCCAGCAGGAGGATGACAAGCCTGAAGCAGTTGCTGCCAGACTGAGACAGTACAAGGATGTGGCAAAGCCAGTCATCGAGTTATACAAGTGAGTGTGCTTCAGTGTTCCCGTGGAAAGGTGTGGCTCCTCGTGGGAGGGACAGTGGGTTGCCGTGGGGTGGTGTTTCTTTAAGCTTTAAACCTGAAAGGCCAAATACCTCTCGGATGAAATGCTGATGTGTACATGGGAAAGAATGCCTGGTATTTTTATGCTTAAACTCTGATAGGACCACAGCCTGATCATCTCTCTGTGATTATAAATTTGCATCTAGACATTTTCATTTTTTTAAGGGACTGAAATAATGGTTTACATTTTGATACTCCCACGTGTAAATATATGACTTGGCTAGAAGATTAGAAGGGACTTTTTGGGCTTAGATATGGGATCTGGAGGGAGTTTAATAAAGAAAAGCTAAAGCTATAAACTACAGGTTGCAAATTCAGATAACTTTACAGGGGCCAGGCAGATGATGGAAATGAGTGTCAAACCTGGTGGGGGACATGTCAAGCTGGGCAGTTGACTGACAGTTGAATTAGACAGCTCCTCTGTTGCTCGAGCCAATTATCACCATGGAAGCACTCAGGCTGAGTGTGGCCAGTGAGCCTGTTTTTCAGAAGAAGCAGAAGTCAGGCTTTCTCTGCAGAAGAAAATCCCATATTTTATAATATATTGGCAAAAAATTAAAATTTTTCATGGCTATGCTGCACGGTTTGCGGTATCTCATTTCCCCATCCAAGGATTGAACCTGGGCCCCTGGCAGTAAAAGCACCGAGTCCTAACCACTGGACCCCCAGGCAGTTCCCTAAAAAATTGTTAATAGCTTGGATGCCAAACAAAGCCCATGTATGGACTGCATTTAGGACAACAGTGTGCAGCCTCTGCTCTTGTAGCTTGTCTCATCTTGTAGCCCCCAAATAATTTAGCCAGCCTTTAGAAATGAAGTTCTTGACCATTTATTAGGCTACATCTGTGTTTCATGATCTATAACAAGGGTTTTAGAGTAGCAAGGTTTGTCACTGATTTCCTTTTCACTGTGTGTATTGAGGCAGATTTGGGGTTGTCCCTATAATGTTATCATGCTTTTAAAGGGGAGAAGAAAAGTTGGCATGACAGCAAGCTTGTGAGAATTGCAGAGGATAGGGCTTTATTTAGTTTTACCGAACAGGGAGTGTTGATACATTGGTTTTGGCACTCAGTGATGTGTGATGTAGACCAGGAGATCGTGTTTATATTATACCCAGGATATTCATCAGTGCTGATACCATGTCAAAAGGAAACCTAAAATGCCCTGTATGTTGGACTTTGTTTTTCAGGAGCCGAGGAGTGCTCCACCAATTTTCGGGAACCGAGACTAACAAAATCTGGCCCTATGTTTACACACTTTTCTCGAACAAGATCACACCTGTTCAGTCCAAAGAAGCCTACTGAGCCTGCGCAGTGGAAGAACCAGGAAGATATGGTCATTCATTCAATTGTGTGTGTAGTATTGGTGCCATGTCCCAGTTAGCAGCTAGCCGAGATAGCTTGCAGTGTCTTTTCTAGTTTAAATGGTGAACAGACATGAAAACTAATGAATAGAATGAGTTAATAATGAGGCTCTTCTCTGCCTTTCTAAAAGAGGGGCCACCTACACGTGTTTAAGATGTCCCTGCACATGTCTCAAGTTCTTTATAAGAATGGAAGCAACACAGGCTGGATTCCAAGTGGTGTATCGCCCAGCTCTAGCTGATTTTCCACGGCCAGGTTGTTGCCATAGTAGCTCTTTCACACGTGATGGTGCTGCTCCCTGGTTCTCCCCAGCCCCTAAAGGCTGTTGAAACATAGCACCAGGAGGCCTGAGAATGCCAGGGGCTATAGCTGCCTTTGTCCCGGTTCTCTGGCATCTGCCCTCCTGGTGACAGTGGATTGAAACAGTAGCTCTCAGTGATTGCTTCTCTGGCCTTGAGTGACTGTCCACAGTTCATTTTTTTTCTGTTAGGAATGACGCCTTCTCTGCATCCGTACTCCATTGAATCTTTTTCAGGCATCCTAGAATGAAAGGACTTGGCTTCTACTACTTTTATTAGACACCTGTTTTCTCCCTCCCTAGACTATTAAGTAATATTGTTCCTGCTTTTATCCCTCTCAAATTCCTGTCTGAGAGCTGAGAGCTGGGGGACGATGTTCGGTCTCTTTATGCACCAGGAACTGAACTGTGTGGAGGGTCTACTTAAACTGTTGGTCTGACTCTCGTGAGTTGACACCGCTCCTTTCTTTTATTGTAGCAAACTAAAACCCTAAGAGTCTTTGGGAAACTCAAAAACTGGGAAATATTCACCTCCATAAATGTTGAAAGATTGTGTCTATGTATAGAGTAAATAAGACCATATGGAATTACTGGACTGAAAGAATAGTTTAGCTTATAGTGAAGACAAAAAAATATATATTTTGAAAATGCTGCTAAATATTGATGCTGACAGTGTTTTTCTCTTGTGAGTGACCCAAACATATTATAAATAGTTGGTAAAGGGAATGGAGCCTATGGGGTCAAGGAAAATGTTGCACGTAGCTGTGCCTAGACTCGTGATGACAGCTTTATGATTATGGGATTTGATAAAATTGTAATTTTTTATTCTATTCCAAAGATGCTTTCTATAGGGTGGCCATTAAGTCTAGAAATATAGATCATACTGTTTTGTCATTCATTAGAATATAGTATCAATAAACCATTTACTAAGGATTTGCCTGGTTTCCAGACTTGGTGGCCACTAATGCTCGCCCCCCTCTGGGAACGACAATGAAATTTATTCCTGTTGCCTTAAAAATATTCCTCTTCATGCATCATGATTGTACCAGCGAGGGTCCTTTACTACTTCCAGGAGTGACTTCTGTGTAACTCTTGATACTGCTGAGAAAACAAAAGCCTTTCAGCATAGGTGATGTTGGAACACATTATTTATTTTCTGAAGATGTCGTAGTGAATTTTCAGCTGTTCACTGAACCATGAATTCTGTGTGGTAGCCATGCATCTTCTCTACAAACACTGCCCCACTCTGGCTAGTCCCTCTCGTTTTGTCCCTTCATGTGAATGTTCTTTGGTTCCCTTAGTGGAAACACAGACCAGTTTCCTCCTCATCCTCTGAATCCAAGTGAAGTAAGATTATTTACTTTCTAGGTTTATGCAGTTAAAATGCCCAGTTCAGATTTGTGAAACATCAGTGCATGATGTTTTTCTTTTGAGAAGAGTTGTGTTTGATTGCCAGTTGATGGGGATAGGGTGAAAATCAGACATGCAGATACAGCTCAGGTTTCCAGGGGAACCAGGCATAGAGAAAAACAAGTCTTATATGAGGAAAATTACACAATTTAGAGTGGTTTTGCCATGGAGACAATTTCCATAAAGTAGGAAAAGTAGAAAGTTAAGGTTATTATAGGGATCATTCAGGAGAGGAAAGTGTGTGCTTTTTTGGAAGCAGAAAAATCTTCAAAACTTTCCTCACTTCTGTTGATGTTTAGCAGATGCTCCAATGTAATCATGGGCCTTGGAGTTTTGGGAAGAGGTATGGGAAATGGCCTCGGTGATCCCTGACTCCATACTCTGCTCCTTCATCCTTCCGTTCGTTCTCCCTTCCAGCAAAATAGACACTTAAAGCCAGCAGCAGAGTCGCTCAATGCATCTCACTAGTGTGTGCTATTTCTGAGGTTGCCCTGCAGTAGAGGGCAGTCACCTTTGCTAGGTGAGACCATAATGAAAGCCACATGGTGTTTCCATGGGCTTTTGAAAGATGATGCTTGTTTGATGATGTTTGATAGCCTAAAAAAAATGTTTCTGGTTTTCTTCAACAAAGTCTAGCTTTTCCTTCAATGATTTTGCACTAAAATAAAATAAAATTTTCTTGGAAATATTTTGACCAAGATAAAATTAAAGGGATCTCTTAGTTTTCCTTCTACTGCCACACGTGAGGTTCCATCAAAGCAAGGCACAAAGAGTAGTTTGGGTGGTTTCTAAAATTCCTACATATCCCTGCCTTCTCTGATTCTAGCCAGCTCTGCATTCATTTTGCTTTCTCTTATCCCCACCAGCTTCAGCTTTAGAACTTGAAAGCACTGCTGTGTTTCATATACTCTAACACTAAAGCAAACATATAATAGGTACCATTTATTGAAGGCCTGCTGAGTGTCATGTGTGTACAGTTTTAGGACATTTGCAAACATTTCATTTAATGTTGCCAGCATCTTTGAGATAGGCACGATCCCATGTTTATAAACAAAGCGAGGGTCAGCAGAGTAAAGCGTCTTGCCCTGGCTTCTGCTGCCAGTGTGCAGTGTAGACAGACTTGAACCCAGGTTTCCTGGCTCTGCTCCTAGATGTTAACTCCCTGCATCCTGTCTCAAGCAACACAGGGCTCTGAGCTTGCTTGTATTTCCAAGTGGCCTCACATCCAGAATGGCGGTGTTCACTCTGGTGACATCCACCTCTGTATGAGAGTGTTCCTTTTCCTTTTTCCCTTTTGCTTAAGCAAAGGAAGCTGCCAGAGGAGAGTCTGAGCCCTTGATCATTTATAACTGCTCACTTATAAGTAAAATGAGGGCTTCCCTGGTGGTTCAGCTGGTAAAGAATCTACCTGCAGTGCAGGAGACTTGGGTTTGATCTCTGGGTTGGGAAGATCCCCTGGAGAAGGGAACTGCTACCCACTCCAGTATTCTGGCCTGGAGAATTCCATGGATTGTATAGTCCATGGGGGTCGCAAAGAGTGGGCCATGACTGAGCGGTGCTTACTTTTGTACGTAAGTAAAATGAGAGACTGTCTAAGTAGGCCTGGCTCGGGTCCAGGCTACTCTGTGGCAGCGGCAAGCTCATGGTCCTCACTTGTTCTCTCGGTGTCCATGCTTTCGTGGCCCTGAAGGGACCTTGGTGCTTGTGCCACCCCAGCCGTGGTGCTCACACACTCCCCTAGACTCCTGGGAGCCCTCCAGACACTACTTAATACTTTGTTTCCCTGACATCAGAACAAATGACTCCCTTGCCTCTACCCCAGACATGGCCCCCATAGATCTTTCCTGCAGTGCTAGCTGGTGAACGAATGGCGATTGAGCTCCTAATCCAGGGTCATCCTAGACTTTAATATCATCCTCCCTGTGTGACATTGCACATTAACATGGTCCTGAATGCCACATCCACATCTTTGCCTGCCCTCTGATGTGGTGGCACTGCTTATCGCTTACAATTCTGGCAGAAATGGCTTCCCATCTCACCTGCCTTCTCCAGGGTGACTCTCAGTACCTTCCAATAGCTCAGCTCAGATGAGCTCCAGCTTCATCCAGGGTGTGCCCCTCTCTTTGGTAGGGAAGGGGAAAAAGTAAGAATAGGCACAGGCGATGGAGGATTCTTGGGAGACAGGTGATGCTGTGGCCTCTCCTGCCATTTCTAGGTTGAGTTTTTTTCTTTTCTGGCCACACCATGAAGCATGCAGAACTTACCCAACCAGGAATCGAACCTGTGCCCTCTGAAGTGGAAGTGCGGAGTCTTAACCACTGGACTGCCAGGGAAGCCCTATAGGTTGTTGATAAATTCTGATAGAAAGATGCCTATGTAAACCCATAAATAGAGTTTTTGTACTTTTTAAATCACTGGAAACTGAGTTCAATATCTGATTTTGGTTATTTGTTTAAAGAAGTTTTAACCACCTGCTTGTGGTGTGTGTGTGGGGCAGGGAGGGGAGGGAGAAGTCTTTGCTTAAATCATAAAGACAGCAAATTTCCAAGTATGTTCAGGTATCAGAAGGGCTTGGTAGTCACTGTTTATTGGTGCTATGTGCACTCCATCCATTATCTAATTAAATCCTCAACAATTAGCCTATGTAATAGTATTATCTCAATTACCTTGCCTCCTTGTGTTTTAAAACTGAAATGCTCCTGTTTACTTAACCTTTTCCTATATGTATAGGAATTAATCAGGAAATTCAAAAAGGCTTTTTTTGTGTTTTTCTAGTTTGAGCTCCCTATTCTCATGAATAGGTGAAATAGTGTATTTGCCCCCACCTGGAATCTTTGCTTTTGGCCCTAGTGCTGAGACCGGAAATGGGCATCAGTGGGTCCTGGTGGTAGCCGCACGCTGTGTATACAGAGGACGGGGTTTCATCTGTCTTCTGCTGGGTCACAGGGTCTCGGGAGGCATTCATATCTACCTGATGGAAGTCATGTATTGCTTTTCACTTAATAGACAATATCTTTTCTTGCTGCAGTAATTTTGCCAGAAAGGCAATTCGTAAGACAGAGTCATGTCTATAGTATGAATTGCATTCTATTCCCCTCCATTTTCAGTAACTCCCTCGTCTGTTTGGTGTTTCAGGAGAGGAACCCAGTAACAAACACCTTTTCATGTGGGAATGTGGTCTGGTCATAAGGTTCCTTTCCTTATATAACTGACCCAGTCTGGTTTCCAGATG